TCCTGCATCGGCAGGCGGACTCTCAAGCACTGCGCCACCAGGGAAGCCCTGGGGTTTACATATTTCTAATTGCACGGCACAGTTCTAATGAAAATAGTAGTAAGGCTTTAATCTCTATTTTGCCTGACAGTCATGAATTGAATTTATATAGAATTATAGTGAATCTGTTTTTGTCAAACACTTGTATTACCTTTAAAGTTAAAATGCTCTCCGGGTATATTTTTGACTGTGCTTCACAGTCAAAAATGTCTTATGGACATTTTTTGAGCCAATGTTGTAGGCTTAGGTCTGGTTAAAGAAGAGGCACTCTTAGCCTGCACTCCATTCCAATCCAATTTTCTTCAGTTTTCTAGTGAAATTATAATTTAACAAAAATTTTGTTAAATTATAATTTAACAAAAATTATAATTTAACAAAAAAAATTTAACAAAAAGGGCTCTGAGCTAAACTCTGATTTCAAATGGCTGCTATTAACCTTTTTTTTTTTTCCATTAAGGTTAATATCTTTTTTAACTAGTAGAGAAGAGATTTTTGAAGCTCTTTTTTTGCAGGCTTGCTATTTTAAGGGCATTTAAAAAGGGGCTGCATCCTGCTATGTGGCGTATGGAGGAGGATACTCAAGACTTTTAGAGGTCTCAGGTACCTCTGATGGATAAATATAAAATGTAATGCTAAGGTCAAAAGCAAAACCAAACCAAGACTTGTTTCTCTGTACCAACTTCCTTCTTTTTTTTTTTGGCTGTGCTGTGCACGGCGTGTGGGATCTTAGTTCCCTGACCAGGGATCGAACCCGCACCCCCTGCATTGGAAGCCTGGAGTCCTAACCACTGGACCTCCAGGGAAGTCCCTCTGTACCAACTTCCGTTCAGCCGTCCTAGGATGGCCGGATGCTGCCTCTCCCAGGACCTTCCCATCCACCAGGCGGAGGGCAGGGGAACTCTCTCTTCCCCCCATTGATCGTCTCTCCCTCGTCGGGACTGCCTCACCTTTAGTTTGTTTCCCAAAACATAAAGCTGATTTGAGGATGAAGGTCAAAGTGGGTCAGCAGACCGCATGCAATTCGCAGGATCCCGGCCACCTGGAGGACCACTGGAGCCCTTCACACACGTTTAGGTAGAGAGAGCACGAAGATGCAACTTCTGTGATGGCCACTCACTACCTAGTTTAGTCGTTTCATGCATGGAGCTGATATTTAGGCCACATGGTAGAAAGATGCACCTTTTTAGACTCTGTCACCAAAATGACCATATCTTTGCTCACTTACGAGAAACATCCCTCTGCACCTACTTGACCCTTCTGCCCTTTAAAGCGGATTTCTCACTCTGCTCCCACAACATCCACCTTTGGGTCTAAACCTGATTTTAAAAATATTTATGTCACTGTTTAGAAACGAGCTTGAGAAATGGATTCTTTTTCTCTCTAGTAGTTTTGTGAAGTTCCGCCAGAAAACACCACCAGGGATAGTACCTATATATCTGGGGACACATATCTAGATCAGTCGTGCAAGTGTCACGGTGTCCCTTGATGTCAAACAGGCTTTTGGGGAGGTCCTTACAGGGTCCTTGAGACCAGTCCATTCACATCCTGGAAGAATCTGCCCCCTGGTGCCTGTTCTCTTGTCCCCCAACATACTGGGTACCACTCCTCCATCCCCATCTCCATCTCCTCCTCTGTCTTCATCTTCTTTTCTTCCCCCCTCCCCCTCCTCCTTTCTTCTCCAAAGGTGGGGAGTGTACTTTCTCTATTCAAGGGTTTGTATCCGCAAACCACATTCCCCAAAACGTCTGCCTTCAGCCTCAGCTCCTGATATGCACCTGATGGGCTGTATCCCTGGCATGTTCTCTGTCTGAGCTTCATCACTTTTCTACTAACATAGTAACCCAGTAAAAGCAGAGGCAACTCTTTGCTCTGATAAAGTAACTAGTCGGTGAGTGGCCGTGTAGATGATTCTTTGTGATGTTTTCCAAGAGGATATTTTTATGGCCTTCATTTTTCTCTCTAAGCAGCAATGGGAATGGACTAGCAAACTTACTTTTTTTTCTTTCTCCCCTCTTTTCAAAAGCCACATGCTAAGGATAAGATCTATGTCCAGAGTCAAGGTAAGAAATTTTAAATATATGTATATTTGAAAAAAAATGAGTCTTTTATCTTTTAGAGATACCTACTGAAATGAAATAACATATGATGTCTGGGATTTACTTGAAAATAGTAGAATGGGTACACTTTTATTATTTTTAACATTAAGATAAAAATAAGACTATAAAAGAATAATTTAAAATGTAGATGAATGGATAAAGAAGATGTGGCACATATATACGGTGGAATAGTACTCAGCCGTTAAAAAGAATGAAGTAATGCCATTTTCAGCAACATGGATGGACCTAGAGATTGTCATGCTGAGTGCAGTCAGGCAGAGAAAGAGCAATATCGTATGATATGTGGAATCTAAAAAGAAATGATACAAATGAACTTATTTACAAAGCAGAAACAGACTCACAGACTTAGAGAACGAACTTATGGTTACCAGAGGGGAAGGGTGGGAGCAAGGGGTAGCTAGGGAGTTTGGGATTGACATGTACACACTGCTATATTTAAAATAGATAAACAACAAGGACCTACTGTATAGCACAGGGAGCTCTGCTCAGTATTCTGTAACAACCTAAATGGGAAAAGAATTTGAAAAAGAGTAGATACACGTATATGTAAAACTGAATCAGTTTGCTGTACACCTGAAACTATCACTACATTGTTCTGGTTTTTTTTTTTAATAAATTTATTTATTTACTTATTTTTGGCTGCGTTGGGTTTTCCTTGCTGCGTGCAGGCTTTCTCTAGTTGCAGCGAACGGGGGCTCCTTTTTGTTGTGGTGTGGGGGCTTCTCATTGAGGTGGCTTCTCTTGTCGTGGTGCACGGGCTCTAGGCACGTGGGCTCAGTAGTTGTGGCTCATGGGCTCTAGAGTGCAGGCTCAGTAGTTGTGGAGCACGGTCTTAGTTGCTCTGCAGCATGTGGGATCTTCCCGGACCAGGGCTCGAACCCGTGTCCCGTGCCTTGGCAGGTGGATTCTTAACCACTGTGCCACAAGGGAAGAACCACTGACCCGCAAAATAGAGATCAGGGAAACAGTAGCTCCAGAGAACACGTAGCTGATTCTGAGCTTAGGTTTGAACCCGTGCTGAGCCCAGGGTCACGCGTACAAGTCCACCTTATAATCATCACATTATCAAGGCAGGCCTGGGGTTGGACCTTCCATTCCTCTGCCACAGCCCCTCGTTTATAGCCATGGAAGACGTTGGTGCTGCAGGAAAAACATGGGCTTTGATGCAGCTCGTGGGTTTGGACGCAGCCTCTGACACCTAACATTTTGTATCCCGATTAACCGCGACGAACCTCGGTTTCCAGCCGGATAAACTAGAGGACTCAACCTGCTTAACAGGGAGTAAGGGTTTCCAGGACCGGGTGGAACACATCCACTCACAGTCTGTGCTGGGGCAGGCGTGGAGTGGACTTTACTACAGACTTTACTAACTGTAGTTAGTATTAGTCAGTGTGAATGGCCAGCTTACAAGTGCCTTGGAGAGGCGGTTCGACGACTTTATTTACATTCCATAAAATTTCACATCTTTTCTGCTCTCGAGATAATCTGTTAAATGCTGCCTCTGGATTTTTGAAATCTTAAAATGTTCGTTTTTTCAGAGAACTTTAAACTGAAAGCTGTCTGAAAAAGTGCCACAGATAGCAGGAAATTATGTATGATTTAGAAGGTTGAGATGAGGAATTTTAAATACAGACATAATTTCTATGTAATTTCTTTTAGAGTTTAGCTGGGAATGTTTTGGATACCTGTCACCTACATGCATTTTTTAGGAACTCAAGCTTTCTGTGACCTAGAGACAGTTTGGCCCAGGAATGGATGGTGGGGTTGAAAGTGATGGATCTTTTCTCCTTGGGAACTGTGGGCGAATTTTATTTTATTTTTTTATTTTTGTTTTTAGCCTCACCGCGTGGCACGTGGTATCTTACTTCCCCGACCCGGGATCGAACCCGGGCCCTCGGCAGTGAAAGCGCAGAGCCCTAACCACTGGACCGCCAGGGAAGTCCCCTGTGGGCTCATTTTAAACCTCACAGGCTTGGAGAAATTCATGGGAATTCAGCAAAGCCCTCAGAACTTTAGTTCTTTATAAGAACCGAGTATGACGGCTATTTGAATGTCAACACAAAATAACTGGTTACGTCTCAACAACATGAACTTTCTTTTGTTCTCTTTCCTTTGAGCCAGGAATTGGAACAGTGCCGAACACCACCTTTAACTGGAACACCTTCCTTCAGCGTTCAGGTAAGAGATGAAATCTTCTGGTAGGATTTTGACCCAAGTGCATCTTGCCAACTTGCGTCAGTTCCTTGCTAGGTTCACATGGTTTTGAAGAAGAGGCTGCCAGGGTCGAAGAAATGGACCCTTTGGGTAGAACAAAGGAGGGAGCAAGGCATGATTAGAACAAACTTGGTTTCTCCCCGTTTGCCGAGGTGTCATCAGTGGTCCCATCCCAGTGAGGATGGGGGTGCAGCTGAGACGCAGGAGGATGAGTAGTGCCAGCCTCTGCGACGCTGCCCTTCGGACAAACCTCCCAAACACCTAGTATCATGTGACGTTTGTCCTTATTAAGGATGCCAACCTCCTGTGTTCATTCGGTGTTACTTTATTAGCTACACACATAAGAAGTGACTCCTGTGGGACTTCCCTGGAGACCCAGTGGTTAGGGCTTGGCACTATCACCGATGGGGCCGGCTTCGATCCCTGGTTGGGGAACTAAGATCTTGCAAGCCGCGTGGTGTGGCCAAAAATAACAAAATAATGTGACCATTGTAAGATGGAGATCAGATTAAGAAACAAACTTTTAAACCACTTGAAATCTCAGCACCAAAAAGGAACTGCTCTTAGTGTTTTGATATATCTTTCTCAACAATTTTACATATATATATTAATGCTTTTCATGCATTAATATATAATATTAAATTATAGCTGTATTAACCTATTATATATTTTTTAAAAATATAAAAATATTAAAATCATCATGTAAATATATAAATATGTGATATTTGTATATTTATTGTAAATGCATAGTATGTATGACACCTATATTATTTATATTATATATAGATTATATGTAAAGTATAATTAGGTGTGACTTTATATTTTATGTTTGAGTAATACGTATGTTTAAATAATCATATATATAATGATTTTTAAAAGACAAAAGTAGAGTCAAACGGTACTTACTGCTCTAACCTGCTTTATTTATTCATTATGTTAGTAACAATGCGAGCTAACTTATCCTTTTTTAAAAATTTCTAAACTAAAGTAAAATTTACGTGGCGTGAAGTGCAGACTTCTAGGGTAAGATTAGGTGAGTCCTGACGAATGTATAAATACCCTAATCCAGACAGATCACATTTCTGCTGCTCAAGAAAGTTCCCGCTTGTGCTTTTCCATATTCAATTCCCATCCCTCTCTAAGGGACCCCTATTTCAATATCTGTCATCATCGATTCACTTTACCAGTTCTTGAACTTCATCTAAGTGGAATCATACAGTAAGTACTTTTTGTGTCTGGCATCTTTTTTGCTCAACATAATGTTTCTGAGATTCATGCATATTGTGTGTATCTGTAGCTCCTCCTTTCTTATTACCGGGTCCTGTTCCATTTTATGGATGTCGCACATTGTTTCTCTATTCTCCTATTGATGGACTTTTGAATTGTTTTCCATTTTTACGTACTATAGATAAAACTGCTCTCTCTCCACATTCTTGTGCAAGGATTCTGATGAATAGCTTGAGTGTATGGTGGATCCATGCTTAACTTTAGAAAAGAACAGCCAAACAGTTTTCGAAAGTGTTGTACCATTTTACATTTCCACAGACATTGATGAGAGACCCAGTTATGGCACATCCTTGCCAACAATTGGTGTGGACAGTCTATTTAATTGTAGTTATCCTAGGGGGGGATCATGAAATGGTATTTGATTGTGGTGTTGGGCATTTATGTATCGATATCTTCCTTGGTGAAGTGTCTAGCCTTTTGCCCAGATGTTTTAGTGTGTTGTCTTTTAATTCTTGGTCTGCAGGAGGGTTTTGTGCTTTTGTTTTTCCCCCTGGGTAGAAGCTTTTTGTCAGATACATATATTGTGAATGTTTTCTTCCATTCTCTGGTTTATCTTTCCGTGTCCTGAACTATGTCTTTTGAAGAGCAGGGGTTTTAAATTTTGTTGAAGTCTAGCTTATCAGTTTTTTCTTTAACAGTAAGTCCTTTTGGGTCCTGCCTAAGAAGTCTTTGCCTACCCTAAGGTTGAAAAGATATTTTCCTTGTTTTTTCCTCCACAAGTTTAAGCTTTTCCATTAGGATTGTAATCCATCTGAAATTAAATTTTGTGTTTGATATAAGGAGGTAGGGATCGAAATTCATTTTTTTCTGTAAATTGCAGTATCATTGAAAATGTTTTTCAATGAATCGCTCTGGTTCCTTTGCTGAGAATCAGTTTACTGTGTGTGTTCCTTTGTGTCTGCATAAATCTACCTTTATGCCAGTATCATGCTGTCTTGTTACAGATTTATGGTACGTGTAGAAATCAGATAGGGTTAGCCTATGACTTTGTTTCAGAATTGTTTTAGCTCTTCTAGGTTTTTTGCATATCCATATACAGAATTTAGAATCATCTTGTCAATTTCTGTAAAATCTTGTTGCATTGAATCCACAGATCATTTTAGAGAGAATTGCTATCTTAACAATAATTTGTCTTAAGATCTCTGAACGTGATGTATCTTTCCATTTGCTTGGGTCTTACTTATCTTCATAATGATTTGTACAGGTCTTTCATGTCTGAAAAATATTCTTAAGGATTTTATTATTTTTGATGTGCTATAAAGGTTTTCTTTTTAATTTCAGGTTTGAATTTTAGTTGTTACTAGTATATAGAGATACACTTGATTTTTGTAATACATTGGCATTATACCTTGAAATATAAATGTATTGGTTCTAATTACATCATGTTTTTAATTCCTTTATTGTATTTAAAATTCTATAAATGTATCCAAACAATCCTTTTGATTGGGAATTTAGATTTTTTAAAAACTTTTTGATATGCAGTGATGAAAGTGCTAGGATTTTAATCTTCATATGTTTTTCCAATTGTTTTCTTAGGAGCAATTCCTAAAAATAGAATTGCTGGATTAGATTATGCATTTAACCAGAGCTTTCATACATCTTACATGATGTGTAAGTGTGTCACCTTGGAAAGGTGACATCAGGGTGCATGTCCATCAGTGAAGCTATGAGGGTACCATTTTCTCTACATGTGGTGCCATTGTGTTTTCTGTGCATGGTATGATCCAAGCATAATTACGGTGTTTAAGCAAAATTTTAATGTATTGTACAATATCTTTCAGTGTAAAAACTTTAGTTGTCCACAAATGAAGCCCCTAAGATTATGCTATTTGGGATTGTAACTGCCTTGCAGGCTGATCTGCCCTGTAATTCTGGTAAAGGTACTAGAACAGCTAAAATTATCTCAGCAAATGCAATTTGAGGCCTAAGAAGTCATCTCTCTTAACCTGAAATACTTCTCTCTAAAGACGACAATGCAGGGGCACGATTAGGAGGAGCTGAAGTTGCAGGTCCTTCTGTAAATCTCAGAGAAGAGAGTGAAAATGCAAAATCAGTGCCCTGCCCTCAGCAGACAGGAAGACATGCCAGGCCTGTTTTTACTCCGAAAACTTCAGACAAAACTTCCAACACATACTCCTTGTCAGCGTTCGCTTCCCTTGAAAAGAAGAAATTTCCAAACATTTGATCAGAAATAATTTTCCAAGTGTTTTACACCAATCTTAGCAAGAATGGCAGAACTCCTGTCAGCATTACAAATGAACCCACACCATCCAGTTGCTTTATCATGTCAGGAAGTGTAAGCCGTTATTCAGAACCAGGAGGCCCATTTTAAATGGCCTGTTGTGGGCTTCCCTGGTGGCGCAGTGGTTGGGAGTCCGCCTGCCGATGCAGGGGACGCGGGTTCGGGCCCCGGTCCGGG